CATAAATAACATCACGTCTGTCACTCATCATCACAACATAACCAGACGCCACATTCAAAAAGACTTTTTCTATCTTTAAAAAACACTGATTTCGGCTGAGCATGGGTCTGACCACACTATCATCTCATATACTGACTTCACAGGTAGCCTTCTCAACTCTACTTCACCTGCCGTGCGTCCCGCGAGGTCCCGATAGGCAACTTCATCATTCACGTTTTAAAAAAAACAAAAATCGGAAAAAAAAGTAAACATTGTCGTGATTTTTCTCGAACTCGTACCACTCGAATGGTAGCCATTACACTACCATCTTAGCTATATGGCCACTGACTAATAAATGGAGAATACGTCCTATAATGTACTGCAGTGTAAGAAACCCGTTACGCGAATAGGTCCTATTATTTTAAATTTAATTAAGGGCCTATATCCCAAATTAGCCAATTCCATAGCTAAACAAACAAAGATTTATATAAAATAATTAAGGCTTGAAATAGTTTACTATATAGATTCTAGTTCTCGATTGTATGTATAGAATTTACGTTAATTTAGATCTAGAATTTACGTTGAGTCTAGATTCTAGTTTCTGCCGTAACTCTAAATCTAGATCTAGATCCTAGATAAATAAATCCCATGCATTCTCGAATTAGATGATCATTGAAGCTAAACAAAGATTTATATAAAATAAATAAGGCCTGAAATAGATTCTAGATCTAGATTCTATATGTAGAATTTACATTCAGTCTAGATCTTGAATTTACGTTAAGTTTAGTGACCTAGATCTAGATATAGAATTCTTCATTCGACAGCTGATCTGTAGATCTAAAAAAATGTATTGTATACTAAAATTAAAAAAATAACTGTTAAAAAATAGATAATAGTGTTGAAACTTAATAAAAATAGCAAACGGACGCATCGTTAAAGCTAAAGCCGACAGAAAATTAGCTGTATAATGTGCTATAGTTTTGAATCGGCAACAAATCAGCCATTGTTGATGTAAAAAGTAAATAAATCTTGTGACGTCACTATTCACTCTAAGTAAAGTCATATTTCTGAACCTTTATAACTAATGTGGTCAATCTACCATTGAATAAATCAATTAATTAATTAACTTCTTTGTCTGAAAAAGAATATTGTTCTCTACCTACAGCTCTTTACAGCTCTACACATAGTGCAGATTCTCCCCTGTAGCCAAACGGACAAACAAATAAATATTCAAATAAGTAAACAAAGTTGAGTTTTCGTTGTATACTAGACTACCCGTTATCTAGTTAGATAACTGTGGCTTTCGGCGGTCATCCATAAATGACATTACGTCGGTGACTTATCATCACAAAATAACCAGACCCCACATTTAAAAACACCGATTTCGGCTGAGCATGGGTCTGACCACACTATTACTTCATATACTGACGTCACAGGTGACCTTATAAAAGTTCTATTAATTTTATTGACGCCGACTTCAAAATTTAGCTTTCATTCTCCAAAGCAAATTTTAAAATGCTTTTCTGTCATATCTAGCCCTGGCCACCTATAGCATGTTTATATAACGTGAAAACCCGCCATTTTGCTCGTGTTAAACATGGTCTAAAAATGGTCGGAAGTTTTGCACCCGGTCCGGATGCCATTGTTGTTAGCAACCGACCACGCCTCCAAGTTAGCAAGTAATCCTAGTATATCTAGAACCTAGATAGATACATCCCATGTATTCTCGAATTAGATGATCATTGAAGCTAAACAAAGATTTATATAAATAATTAAGGCCTGAAATAGATTCTAGATATAGAATTTACGTCTTGTGACCTAGATTTAGATCCAAATCTAGAATTCTAGATTCACACATAACTTTTTCTTCCTTCGGCAGCTGATCTGTAGATCTAGAGAAATGTATTGTATAATAAAATAAAAAGAAGTGTTAAAACTTTTATAATAGTGCTGAAGCGTAATAAATACAGCAAACGGACGTATTGTTAAAGTTATAGCCGGCAGAAAATTAGCTTTATAAGGCGTTAAGCTTTTGAATGGGCCACAAAGTCGATGATGGAAGCTGCCATCTTATTGTACTAAAAGTAAACTTTTCATGTGACGTCACTATTCAGTCCAGGTTAAGCCATTATTCTGAAACTTTAAAATTAATGTGGTTAATCTACCTATGAATAAATCAATAAATTAATTAAAGTCTTTAAATAAATTTGTGATTAACAGTCTGTCTGAAAACAAAAATTGTTCTCTACCGACATACTAGTTTACAGTTCTGCATATAGCGTAGATCCTCTACAGTAGTCAATCAGACCAACAAACAAAAAAATATTCAAACATGTAAACAAACTTGAGTTTTAGTAGTATATAGATAGATAGATAACTTTGGGGGATTTTATGAGAATACTCTAGGGAAGGTTTCTGCAATAAAAAAAATTTCTTACGTGCGGCACCAGGGAGGGTGTGAATTTTGCTAATACACGGTTTGGCTCCCATAGGTCCGGAGTGGCTATCAAGTGGTAACACTTGTGACCTACTTAGGTCTAGTAATGTTTTAGTTTGACATTGTTATAATACCATATATGGTTGATGGTGCAACAACCGGGTTTTTTCCACTGTCTTACTAAGAGAGTCTAAGACTCAGAAATTTTCCGTCAAGATCTGATTGATTGATTCAGACCAGATGACCACCCCAACCAATGGCCACATGAGTTGAGGGTAACCTCCCCTGTTGCCTAAGTCTATAACTAGATCGCCCACAGGCGGCAGGAGGCAGTCCATTCTGACCAGGCCGACCATTTTGACCGGCAATCCATTCTGACCATTTGAACGTGAGAGAGCTTAAGTCCTGAGTTTGCTATGCATTCTTAAGTTGTTTAAGTATTCTAGTATTATATTACTTGTGGCCAAGTGATTCTTGATGCTATAGCAGTGTTGTGTGACCTGTGGCTATTTTTATACAGTGTTAGAATCTGTGATAGTATTTTTTCTTACGCTTTGTAAGTTGGGTTTTGTTATTTTCTAAACTAAATATTTTATCTTGTTTAACCTTGTGTTCTACCACAACTGTGTTCGCTTATTAAAGGTTGTATGCAGATTGAATGAGTTGTTAACTTCAATAGTTTCACTAGTTTTCCCTAGACCTCGAAATCGAGCCCTAGTGTGTTGTTGAGTTAATGTTCATTCATTTAGGCTTTAGGTCATTTGCATATAACCCCAAGAAAGAATCCGGGGGCGTTCACCATCTATCTGGCTGGTAGATAGGTGTCCGTTACACACTTGACTTCAATACTTTATAATGCAACTAACACTACTCCCTACACTCTCCCATGATCAACCCTAACACTACAATTCCAATTCTCTACATATTTCTGACTGTTATCTACAGCAAGATATCTCCGACTGCTGACCAATGTTCGTTCTAAGCTGCGCGGGTGCGCGGCCGCGCAGTAGTTTTGAGCTGCCTCGCAGTGATCTTTTAAAATAAATGTATCCCTGTGTAAGACTTTTAGAACACCGTGCACACAAAATACATTTTGCACACTAGCTTTTCCCCCTTAGAGGGAACATTGCTGCTGACCCACGCTTCAGCGGACATCTGACCGTCCCACGTGACCGGTCATCTCCTCCAATTCTATTGGTCTACCTGACTACGCTATGCTCTGTTTCTGCTATCTTCTACACCGCACCATAATGAGAATTTTGCTTGGTCAACAACATAATTTTACAATAAACTTCCAAAAAATATAACATGTGTTAATTTATCTAGTATCTTTGTTTTAAAAGTGTATGTGTTGTTTGTGAAAATTACTTTTGTCTTATCGATGTTAGTAGTCAGATCTGTTTAGCAGCTGTTCATCCAGTTCATTTGTATTGCTATCGATTCGCTTTTAGATTTTGTGAGAGAAGGCGGAGATCCAGAGTTTTTTCTTTGAGGCATCTCTTGGCGAAAGGGGGGCATTGCCCTCCTTAGAAGCCCGTCTACCACCAACGCCACCCCCCCCCTTTCCTCAACACCCGAATGAAACAGAGTTTATATACAAACTGTGAACAAAGTTTGAAGTGGCTCTCCCCCCCCCCCCCCAAAGAAAATATTATCCGGTATGATGGCGGTATAGTCCTATGGAATGCTAAGCATTACGCATGGTACCAGACTCTGCTGCTGATGTAACCAAAGTTGGTGATTCTATCACCACATGGGCTTGTCTTTCTCTCCTATATGGATTGCTGTAAAAAGCTCACGTGCCTTATCTACTCGGGGTAAGAACTCAAGAAATTTCGGGTTAGCGTTTTCATTTTACTGACTGGCCTACACGATTAATTTGGTGTTTCAAACCTATAAGAAATAAATGCAGTGAACTGTACAATTATATGCCTGCTGTATGGTCATTTTTAGTGTTGGAATATGATCCTTGCTGGAAATGACTTCTCCAATCCGGCTTGTTTCTGTCTAAATCTGGAGAACAAGGCTTCCTTTATCTATATAGAATTATTCTGCTTAGTACTCGCTAGGTATTGCTAAAAAGATATTTCCTCACTAGGCATTGCTTCCTTTATCTATCTAGAATTATTCTGCTTAGTACATTGTTAGTTATTGTTAACAAAATAATTCCTCACCATGCATTGCTTGCTTTATCTATCTAGCATTATTTTTCTTAGTACTTTGCTAGTTGTTGTTAACAAAATAATTCCTCACCAGTCATTGCTTTTTTTTATCTACCTAAAATTATTCTGTTTAGTACATTACTAGGTATTCCTAACAAGATAATTCATAACCAGTAATGGCTACTGACCAAAGTACAAGTCCACGAGTGATACTGTTTTGTAATTTAGGTTTATGTTTATATTAATGTTTAACTGAGTATTCAGGTTTATGTTTACATTAAATTGAGACGTCAAAAAAAAAATGATCCTGATTTTTACTAGCTTCATTTAGGAACCGTTGTTCATTTTTTACAAAACTTTTTGACTAGCTGTAGATTTGTTGCCAATACTTTTGTAACAGACAAATACACAACAAAACAAAAGCCATTTATATCTGCACATTTTTTCTATTAGCATGTTTTGTATTAACAACAGCTAACAAGAAACTCAATTCTACAGTTTGCAAGCTTACATCTTCCACAGCAGGTGCTGTCTATATCCTACAGATGTACAGCTTCCACAGCAGGAGCTGTCTATATCCTACAGGTGTACAGTTTCCATACACGATCTTCAAACCAATCACTGTGGGCGCTGAAAATTCCACGGATCACGCGACCAGCAGGGACAGTGTATTCGAAATTCGCATCGTACTTGTTCAAGGCCTCGGTGAGGGTACAGTTGTTGAGTCTTGCGTTGTGGGGCTTGCAGCACTGGAATTTGAACCTGCGGTCGGAAAAGGCGTTGTCGTTGTAACTCTCCACGCCCGTCAAAACGTAGCTGTCGGGGCACATGTAGGCCAGAAGTTGGTCAAACTCGTTCACGTAGTCTGGAAATTAAATCAGCATTCTGTTTTATTAATTTATTTTAAATATTCTTTAATATTGATTTAAATTTAATTAGATTTCATGTGCAAATACTTTCTTCTAATTAATGTAAAGAAGAAGTTTAATTAAATGAAAAAGCGCTCAAATATTTAAAAATTTTAAACTGATAGATGGGACAGGAAATTAATATAGAAAGATTTGAAAGGAAAAAAGGCCTAACATTCCAACAGACAGAGGTTATAGTTAGATTCTGGATGAAATATCGCTCACGTGTTGATGCCTTGAGCACCAATGACGTTAAGAAATAATGATTATTGATTTTAAATTATTAAATTAAATTATTTTTCACAGATTAAGAGAGAGTGCTTTGGAGCGTCTTCGCAGTTCTAGGTGTGTAGCTATCACTTTAACCTTTTGCGCAGTTGTATAAGTGAGGCTATTACTAAAACATTTTCGCATTTCTTGTGTTGATGTAACTGACAAAGCTGTAGTTTTGTGAGAGAACCTATAATCAGATTCATCCGCGGTTGTACAGAAGCAGATATGTAACTATGACTCACCACTTTTAAAACAGGTGCGTGAAACCTGGGCATTACGGCACCGAAACTCCCACACCCGATCCTGGAATACGTTGCTGTTTTCACTGCCGATGTAGCTCAGGGCTTCACCTCTTGGACAGATAAAATCAAACTGCTGATCAAAGCTGGTCATGTAAGCGGCCTCAGCACCAAACACGGCCAATAGGCTCAGCAACAAACTCAAAAGCGAATTCATTTTTGGGGAAGTACTTGGAAATTGTCGTTTCAAGTAGTGTCTGCAGAAAAGTATTTAATAGTTAGCAAATAACAAAGTTTCTTTAAATCTTAGAATTTTTACTAAAAACACAATTTCATGAAAAAGCAGTACAAATAAGTTTACTATGAAATCGAAATCTTTACAACAATTCTGATCAGCGGAAAACATTTAAACACATATTTCAAATTATATTTGAGATAAATGGTGCAAGCGATCTTGTAAAGAAAATAAAATACCTCAGACGGATTCGTCTACAAAGCCACAAGAATGTGTTACCTTCTCGGCAGCTTTGACTAATCGTTTGCTTTACTGCCTTATTTATAGAAAGACTTTTCCTTACTCAGCACTATTTTTCGCATTGTTTATGTTAATTACATTGGCTTCAAAGGAAAGCCAAAATTTCCATTATTTTATTTTTTCGGCTTTACCCAAGGTCAAAAATAAATTGTTTTACTCTCAATGCACACACATTTGGGTCAACCAACTAATTTCACTACTCAATAACGCATCGTTGGTTTCGGGTTTTTTTTTTAATTAATTATTTTTTAGGATTTAAAGCAACAGTTTTTAACCGAAATAATTTGAGATTTTATAAATATTATTTAAATAACTTAAACAGTGAAGTAGTACCTGGTCTTAGTATAACTTCCATTAGTGTATTCGCGCCTATTTTAAGTTAGAATGATTTTCCTGAGTCGACTCAACTCAAATGGGTCCTTATACATTTTATGTGTTTAAAGACACTCAGCACTAATGAATATCTGGATGTTTTATTGGTCAAACTATTGAAATACCCGTCACCACAGGAACACGTTGTTCGTTATCTGAACCACTGCAGTTCATGCCCAGTATAAATCTTAGCATTATTTATTGGTTTTGGAGATGGCATGGACGAGCAAGAGTATGTATTGCTGTAAACTCGAAAAGCACCAAGTTCGGACCCTAGGCAAATATGTCTCGTTAGCTGTGCATAGCATCCCATGTAGAAAAAAAAACCTCCAAAATAAAAAAAAAACTTCGTCATTGCATGTTGTTCTTGGGTGAACAAAGGCTATAAAATAAAATTCAGAAAAAAAGCCAGTTTGAAGTTGGAATAACAGGTCCTTAGCTCTAATTGTGTCGGAAGAAATCCCCTATAAAAACACAAATATATTGTAATTAAAAACAGAAATACACATACAGAGGTGAGGATTTGGGGGGGGGGGGGGGTGGAGTTCATCATTCGTTCTCCCGCCCCACTATTAAAATGTATCTTTATTTTTTCAAATAAATCAAAAGTTAATTTTTAAAATTTTATTAAAAAACTAATCTATTTTTATATTGCTTTTTTTTAAATATTTTTTTAAAATGATAATTTTGTCGTATATTTTGAAATGTGAACATTTAAGTCACAAGGTATCTTTTTTAAAATATTATTTTAGATAATTTATTGGTTGTAGAACCTTTTTGTATGTGTAGCTAATTTAATTTTCACGCTACTATTTAAATAATTATAAAGAAAAGCGTGGGTCTCTTCCTAATTATTAGTAAAGGTATCCAATAGATACTTAAGTTACGCACGCTTTTCTTTATAGTTATTTAAATATTAGAATGTAATTTATTTTCTACTAAGTAGTGCATTATTACATAAAAGCTTGTTATTAAGTTTTTTTATGATTTTTTTGTTTAGCAGGGCCTAATTTGTTTTTTATTTACAACAGATTTGCATGACTAAAAACCTTTGCGCACCTAACGAACGTGATGACGCATGTATAATAGTGCGGGATAGTTGGATGAGACAGCTTACTAATTTTGACAAAATTGTAATTATTTAATAACAAATTAATGAGGCACTTAATTAAGGCCAATTTAATGTTAGATTGCATTCTCTTCATGTCTTGACCAACGTGCCAACGTTTAAGCAAATCTGTCAGTTAGAAGTGTCCGAAATTTCGCTCGGGCGTTTCGATGTAGACTGACGACAGACTGACGACAGCGAAAGCAATTTAAATAAAAACTTGTAAAAATCTGAACCAGCTGGAAAAAAAGCTTTATTAAATTAAAAATGTTACCAATTTAAAGTCATAATGAGCCACGTTTCATTCACATAAGTTTAAAAAAATGTTTTAAATGAATTTAGCCTGGCAAAAAATAAAACAGATTTTATTAAAAAGGAAGGATAACTATGGTGTATTGAACAGTTCAGTTTGTTTCATACATACGTATTTACTAAATTTGCTTGATAATTACTAAATTGTTTCTTGTTTATTTCTAATCTTGACCCAAATGGCCATTCGCTTGTTACACCCGCCGAAGATACTTTAACTCTGTTACTGGACATTGAAGATGTTTTTTTTTTTTTTTAAATGGTCAGTTTGTAAAATTAGAGCAACTAGGATGTTGAGATATGCTGTATTGATTAGACTATTGTTAGATTGGGTGGGTTAAAGAGTTACAGAACATGTCATTGTGAACTAATCAGCGGAGCATCTTTCCTTCAATGAAACGAGCATCTGCAAAAATCCACTCAATGAACTGGTTTCTCCCAATGGTCTTCAGATCGTGCTCAGTTGCAAAGTGTTGTGTTGATAATTGCTGGGTGAGGGTGATTCGTCTGCAACAATCTAGATTAGAATCGGAAAATTTATCGATGAGCTTCTCAACTATTATTTGGATATTGAGCTGTTATAAAAAAAAATAGCCTACTAGCAATCTATTGGGCAGATTAAGTAGAGTTTATATGTTTCATGAACTCGGCATATGAAGAGATGGTGTGATCAGCAATCAGTGTTTATTTCAGACATTTTTCTCCGGGAGGGGGGGGGGGTGGCACTTGAAATTTTCAGGGGGCGGTAGACTTTCTTCGGGGGGGGGGGGGGGGGCGGACACTGTTAAAAGTATATATTTTCTAAATTATATAAATTTCATTTCGTTCGGGGGGGGGGGGCGGTAAAAAAAATTTCGGGGGGGGGGGGGGCGAAGCTGGAAGAAACTCTGTCAGCAATATGCCGAGCTGCCTTTACTTTCCATCTAAATGTTTTCTGTAAATTGTAGAAATTCTTCTTTTTATATGTTAAGCCTCACTTCTAAAATTATCTGTATTTTATTTTATTGTTTTCTTTTTAACGCTTGCTGTCAAAACTCGCCTACACGACCTATCTTGGAAAACAGATATCTCACAATTTACGACAGAAATAATCTAGTTTTGTATAAGTTTGTAAAACTCCTGTTTTACGCTATAGAATATCAAATTCAGTTGCACCCCCCCCCCCCCCATTCCACCCCTCGGCATAATTTACACACTACTAAAAACCTCTGACCTAGTTTCCTGATGCTAATCATACATACGTTACTCATTTATAGAAAGATTCTTCGTTCCTCAGTACTAATTAGTTTTCGCATTGTTTATGTTAATTTCATTGACTTCAAAGAAAAGTCAAATTTGAATTTATTTACTTTTTTTTGCTTTAATTAAACCAAGGTCAAAAAGAAATTTCTTTACGGTCAGTGCACACACATTTGGGCCAACCAACTAGTTTAATTACTCCGCAACGCGTCGTTGGTTCCGAGTTTTACGACAATCGAACAATGCGATTGGCTTTTGATTTAGAATGTAAAAACAACACGTGTTGACGAACATCAATTTGAGATTTTTAAAATATTATTTAAATTAAATAAACAGTGAAGTCGTTCCTGATCTTGGTACGATTTACATAAGTGTACTCACGTCTATTGGGTGTTAGTGTGATGTGCCTGAGTCGACTCAGCTAAAAAAGGTTCCTGTACATATTATATGTGTTTAAGGCTACTCAACATAAATGAATATGTGGCCGTTGTATTGGTCAAAGTAAATATTAAAATATACGTTACTACAGGAACACGCTGTTGAATATCTGTATGTTGTATTGGACAAAGAACACGCCGTTAAATATTTGTATGTTGTATTGGACAAAGAACACGCTGTTGAATATTTGTATGTTGTATTGGACAAAGAACACGCTGTTGAATATTTGTATGTTGTATTGGACAAAGAACACGCTGTTGAATATTTGTATGTTGTATTGGACAAAGAACACGCTGTTGAAAATCTGTATGTTGCATCGGTCAAAACACGCTGTTGATACCTGTATGTTGTATTGGACAAAGAACACGCTGTTCTTTATATGAACCACTGCAGTTTACGCACAGTAGGCCCTATACATCTTACGATTATTTTGGAGTTGTTTTGGTCGAGATGGAGTGCGTATGCCAACTCCAAAAGCTGGTAGCTTCAAAGATCCCGAGTACGGATTCCCGGGCAGATGAAGCTCGTGAGCTGGCAACAGCAACCCATTTAGGAAAGACAACTCCAAAATGAAACAACTGCTGCATTGTAGATTGTTTTTGGATGGACAAAGGCTCTGGAAGAAAATCCAGAATGAAATGCAGGCTGTATTCGGAGTCAAAAGGCAATTAGCCTAAAGCTGTGTCGTTAGAAATTCCCTTCTAATACTACTCATTTATTACAATTTAGAACGGACATAATCATTATCTTTCCTGCCCGAGTATGAGCAGGTATCTATATTTTTTCAAGTAATTCAAAGTTATATTTTCTGTATCTTTTTTTTTTAAACTAGCTTATTTTTATATTGTCTTGGAGCAAACGTTTTTTTTTTTTTTTTAGTTTTCAAAATAATGGTTTTGCGTAATAATTTTTATTTGTGAATATTCAAGTCGAAATGTTTTATTTTTATTTTAAAATATTATTTTAGAAAATTAATTGATTCTGGAACCTATTTCTATGAGTAGCTAATTAAACACTTGTTTAAATTAAATTTCCTATCACGTAGGTAATGTGTGACTATAAGCGTGGGATGAAAATGTAAAACTCACTTGATTAAATTAACGTCAGCTGCTATTTGATGCACGTACAAAACATTACAATGCGTTTGATGTTGTTTGATTGGTCGGATGGTAATTTGTGTTGCAAGTAGTTTGTAATTTGTGTTGCTAGGTGTTTGTGTATGAGTTAGTAATTTTGTGTTTGTAGCAAGTAATTTAAGTTTATGACTGCGTGTGTGTGTGTGTGTGTGTTTGTGTGTGTGTGTGTGTGGGTGGGTGTGTGTGTGTTTGTGGTAGTATTTTGTGTTTGTATCAAGTAATTTAAGTTTATGACTGTGTGTATTTATATCATTAATTTGTGTTAGTAGCAAGTAATTTGAGTTTACGACAGTGTGTGTGTGTGTGTGCGTGCGTGCGTGCGTGTGTGTGCGTGTGTGTGGGGGGGGTAGTATTTAGTGTTTGTATCATTAATTTGTGTATGTAGCAAAAAATCTGAGTT